AATGACACATCTTGGGAACAAGAAGAATGCAGGTGGCTCAAAATGGCCACCAGGTGTTCTAAGGTGACAATGATCATACGATTGTCAATGCTCAAAGTATACCTTAGCAATCTGGGATGTTATCAAGGAGATGGTGAAATACGTGGAAGAAATCTAGACATTTCAAGACAATTTTAGATGCATGGATAATCATGTGGTTACCATGACAACATTCATAGTGGAATGCTGATTAATTTCCACACCATAAAGAAGGGCGTTTATGATCATCCTTAGGCTACTCAATGTATAGAAGCTATAGAGTTTCACGATGATTCGAAACGAGCTGTACGAAGTGTTCGCGATAAAAAAAGAATTGAGATTTGGGCTACCCGTAATGAACTCGATACAAGCGTATCGCATATTTTCGATGTCCCAGTTTCCTATGAGAGTGAATGCAAAATCACGGACAGAGACCATCTTATAGCTTAAGTCTTTCTCTGGTATCTTTCAGCTCTGTCCCTAGGTCTATCAAGACTCATTTAGTGCATTTAAGCATCGATGACGTTAAGGGTTTATCGTCTCACACGAAAACTGCAATAGTTGTGGCTTGCTGAAGAAGATGGCTAAATACTTAAATTCCTATAAACGGACAGTTTTCCTGACTGGGAGATACTTTTACACCTTAAGTGAACACTCTACTTGGTAAGGAGGTTTATGTCAAGTCAAATATCATTTATCCCTTTTTGAGGAAAAGGGAGAGCCTGGATGCCCATTCCAGTGTAAATTGTCAATCAGCAAACTTCTATACTTCTATAGTGTGTAACAACTTGGAGATGCCTAACTATATAACAAATCATTGGCCGTCGGAGGTATAATATCCAATCAAGAATACCCGAAAAAAGTCTAGAAGACGAGGACGTAGATTTGGATTTTTAGACCGTGGATTATCATGGAGTCGTGCGGAAAATGATAGACCTCATTTCATGGAGCATATGACAAAAGCAGCTATGATAAATCTCCAGGGTTAACTTCATTGCGGACCAAGCTATCTTCCTTTAGATGATTCCCTGTTGAGAATATACAGCATCTAGATAGGTACAGGCGGCGCAGGCGGAATGTTCCGGTTCAAATCCAGTCCCTGGCAAATATTCACACTTGTTATTCTTGTTTTCTCGCTCATTTCTTTCTTTTAGTTAGTCTAATTATACATTGTGTATCTTATTTACTTCCCAAATGAAATAATTTAAATTAACACAAAATCGGCCCTATCCTGCCCCTTCACCAAAGCTGACATATCGCGACTCGCCTTCGTAACAGCCGACGACAGAAGTTGGTAGTGATCAGGTCCATAAGCGCGGAGCACATGCGGCGACGTAGCACCTTGAAATTTGACGACATTATCTCCGATGCGGACACTTCCGTAGGCGTAGCCAATGAGACCGTTGCTAGTGGTGAAGATCGACCTATTGATGGCAAGCCCTCTGATAATGTTATAGAACCCGGTGGCTGATGCAACTAAGTGGACTATCTTATGCCCGGGATTGCCGACCTGACCATATATTTCGTAAGGCCCGCAGTCTAGATTAATTGATAGAAGTACATCGAGCGCTGTGTCGATGTCGGACTCTACTAGTCTGAGTATTGCATCGTGCCGTTGGTTGCTATCCACAGCCTTAGCTAGCTTTTCCTTAGCATGTCTGATGATTACCTCTCGGCACTCAGTTTCTTCGGACGCTGTTAAGAGAGAGTGTAGGTCTTTGGATCCTATTTCGAAGGACCGCAGAGGTTGGGTTGGACTATACGTCAACAACAACCGACAGAAAGTCTCAAGGTGGAGCTGAGAATCATTCCCTACGCCCAAACTATCGTATATACCTCTGAAAAACCTAAGCTGTTCCGCCCCGTGCATTCTCATGGCTAAGGCTTGCTCAATGGACAGTCGTGGCATGGTGATGATGTCGTGCTGAGTCTTTGCTATCTCGCGATCGTCAAACACGGTATCAATCATACCATAAGTCAGACCAACAAGCGTCAACTGAGTGCAATCCGAAGACACAATGATATTCGGAGTATGATCCTCGACCGGCCCATCCCAATGGTTTACGCTTTCTCTGTCTCCGTGGTTTACAGGCAAACAGCCAAGTTCGCTGAGCAAATCCTCAGACCATCTCGGGTCATCACTCCAGTCCGGAACCCAAGACGGAAGATCTTGTCGACGGTATTTGCTCCACACGTTATCTAGGGACCATAAAGAATTATCCTGCCGCATGATTTCAGCGGTAGCTTTAGCGTACACAATAGGAATCGACGCAGTGTAGTCTGGAATCGGCAATGTCTTTCCAAGTTTCTGAGAAACACCGTATAATGCGAAGATCTTATCTTTTGGATCCGTGGCGTGCCGGATTCGTGTATGGTATATGATAGTTGATAGGTCCTTTCGATTCTCACCAGCCGCGTCTTTTCCTCCCGCCCCGGACGGCATGGCTTGGATGTCGGTGTTTTCAGATATTAGTTCCTTGAAGTCGGAGCGGGCGTAGTAACAATTAATGAAATTCCGACTACCTTTCGAGGAAGGGGCGAAGGACGCTTCGATCAATGTCATAGCCTCACAAAAAGCATCCCATTCCATGCTCTTACTTCCACACAGGGCTGTCGCATGGCTGGCGAGAAGAAGTTCTTGCAAGGTCCACATTCGTTCAAACCATGGTCGGCTGAGAACGTCTTCGATGATCTGACGAATTACTGGAGCATCCTCTGTTTTTGGCCATTTGGTATCTGGTATCTTTGCTTCAGCACTCAAAGCGACAACAGCCTATGACAAAACCCAACACTCCACACACGAGTTCCCCGTTTCTTAAAAGAGCGTAGTTACTTACCACATTCGTTCATGAATTCTACATTTAACTCTGCCCTGCTGTCTTCCAACGAGTCGTCACGTAATTCATAGAGTCCTTTCAAGTGGAGAAACAGAGCATCCGTCTTCGCATCGCCCTCACCGAGCCAAATCAAGACGTCGGCGGCAGTTTCGTAGATGCTTCCCATAATAGCAACTTGAGAACTGCGCTCTTGGACTCCTTCTGGGGTCTGGTCAATGCAAATACTGTCCACCCATACTACGCGATCAGTAGAGGTACGCCTCAGCTGTCTCAAAGCTGCATCGCAATTGGCCGTGATGGGTAAAGTCGATGAGTCGATGTTAATCCCATGCACTGTACTCGGTGGTCCCCATACGTATGAGAGAGCTTCATATCGGGTCGAAATCTCGGAGGCCGATTCTCCGTAGGATTTCCCGACGACACATTCAACGAGGGAGCCGTGAAGAGGTTCGATTGTCACAATGGCAGGATGAAGAATCAACAATCTAGTCCTTTCGGGCCCACTCAAGGCAAGATGCCGATATGCCATGAGGGGATTTTATAGAAAGTAAGGAAACATCATTTGCCTGAATGGTAGGCATTGTTCTTGAAGCTGACACGATGAGATGCTGATCTCAGCTCCAGTGGCTCCAACCAATTGTCCCACTTGATATGTCCCCTATACTTTATAGGGAGATATGCGCTATCATTCCCTGTGAGCTATAGCGCAGACCTCCGCTGATTTATAGTGATTAAAATACCCTGACCCCAACCCCAACCCTGGCTTCCCTTCTCTAGGGCTAGGGTTAGGGTTATCCCAACCATTATAACTTATGGAAAATTATAGGGAGGTATGCGCTATAGCTTACTGCAATCCCAGTGGGCTACAGCGCATACCCCCTTATAAATGTAACCACTATAATCCCATTCTGTATGCTGCTTTAACCTCCGTGGCTGCAGAGAAGAGCATAATGTTATTTTCGACACAGTCAGAGAATTATAACTAACTGCTTCCAATAGTAGAACGATGACTTGCTGTGCATTGTCCAATGATCGAGACAGTGTCCAAATATGATAGCTGTGAATAACTACCTATATAAGCAATGGTCGCCTCGATTGTGGGCGAGTTAATATATATCGCTAAATAGGAACTACGGACCTCCATAGTCGCTCTACTCACATAACCTTAGACATAGCAATGCTCCTTTGCCTTCCGACCCCTGTTGTCGTTCCACCGGTCACATCTCTTATAGCATCCACCGTTCTTGAAGTTGATAGTCTTTGAATTACAAGTTCTGGCGCGGGTGGCCCACGCAACACGTTTCTTGAAATCATCTCCGGCCATCCAGGCCGTCAAGTGCATGTTGAGGTCGAGCCCACTCCCGCCATAAGGATTAACGCCGCTCTCTTTTACATTTGTGGGAGTTCTTGGGAATTGGCTGTCGTATGTGTTCTGAAATAGTTGCAGCTGGATGTCGTGCGCCCAATCCTTCCGCTTGTCGCTAGGCAGGCCAACGTCGGGATTTTTACGACGTATTTGAGGAAGTTCTGGTTTTGGGTTTGGTCCCAGTCATAGTAGCAGTCAACAGTCACGGGCTCGTGGTTTTGAGTAGCTTTGCAATCCTCTTCGGTGAGCCTGTAGTTGCCCCCCCAATGGCCATTTATTCCAACTTCGCCTTTGCCGGGATTGACCGGCGCATCGGATATCTCAAGCACCAAAGACAACCTCAGTGTAGACGCCAACATTTTGAGAGTGATTTCAGTCCGACAAGAAACAATGGGCAAAAAGGGAGCCATGGAATCAAGACGCTAGCTACGCATACCTACTGAACAGGAAGAGCGTATCCCTCATACTTATATATAGAGAACATCCATTCAATAAATTAATCATGAGATAGGACGTCTCTTGAAAGTTTGGACCATGCCGGAGTCTCTAGAACCCCGAATTTAATATGCGCCATGTCAATAGTAAATTTCGTTACATATTAGCTAGACTCGTAGAGGTGCATGTGTTGTACCATCATGATCAACCAAAATTGTAATGCCCCGGCACTTGTTACAATCAGATAACAATATGCCTAAAGCTTAGTGGTACAAAGGGGGGCGTGCCAAAGGGTATATGAAGCAAAAAACCCAGGAAAATAGATATGATTACCTAATAGCTCAGACACTTTGGTGGAGTGGTTAACACGCAAGCCTGCTACTGTACAAACAAAGCCAGCTTGTTCCTTCGGGAGCGCAGGTTCGAATCCTGCAGGTGTCGAATCTTTTTTCTATTTGTTGTTATTTTTCACAAGCCGTTCGTGCGTGAATTCCAAATCCACTGGGAACGAAGCTTAGGGTTGGTTATGTTTTTAGTTGGTCTCTTCGTTAGCTCAAAGTGCTTCCTGTTCTCCGATATGGGGCTATGGGGTTGTTAAAACCTAGACTCTTCTGCAAGATTACTGCTAATACGACGATCTCATTGATGCATTACATATGGATCCCAACTATCATGCCTCCCTCGGAATCCTAAAAATCGGATACTCATCCCCCACCTCCACGGGAATCAAATTGAACCGTACATACGAGTCCACATTCTCCGGTTCCAGAGCCACAAACGCCAGCGCAGCATTCTTCTGCCTGGTGCTGACCCTGAAACTCCCCGGCGGCAACACCAGTGCCTCCTTCTGCACCGGCTCCGTCGTCACCGTGACCTGCACGGCGCCCTCGTAGTAGCCCCGCGCCACCTGCGCGGTCTTTACCCTGAGTGCCTCCGCGGGCCCGCGGTACCCGTCGTCCAGGACCTCGACCTCGACGCCGGAGTCGCGCAGGCGAGAAGCGAGGTCCGCCCACGTGCGCGGGAGCAGGTAGGCCTCGGGGCGGGGCCGCGTCTGGTTCGCGGTCGTGGGCGTCGTGCTGAGGAAGGTGACGGGGACTTGGGCGAGGGCGCCGCTGGTGCGGTTCACGAAGGTGATGGTGCGGTTGATGGGGTTGGGGAAGTCGGTTAGCACGATGGGGTCGTTGCTACTGATGAACTTGGATATGGCGCCTTCGACCTGTGGGGGGATAGTGTCAGAGGGTGTGGATGGTAAGTAGGGTTATGATATGCATTATAGTAACAACTTCACCAGCCAAAGAAGAAGGACGGGGAAATATGCCAGAGAATTATTCTTCGACTTACCGTATCATACACCTCGTCCGCATTCCCCAGCGCAATATCCAAAATCGCGCTGACCATATTCAACGCCGTCGCCACGCGCCGCTGAAAATGCTGGTCCGCCAGTCGAATACCCCTGACCTCGCAAAGGATTGTCACGGACTGCGCCAGCGCGTAGTTATTCCGCCCGCTCTTCGCGTCGCTGCCCGCCTCGTCGAGCACGATGTCGGCCGTGCTGGAGGACCCCGTGAAATAGGGATCCCACCGGAACCCCTTTTCTTCGAGGGCGCGGCCGACGCCCGCTGCGAAGAGAACCTCGGAGATATTTCGGATGTCCGGGTGCGTGTTGAGGTTCTTGCCCGCCGCGATCAGGGCGTCCATGCCGTGCTTGTAGATGCCTCCCGGACCGGAGGACTGCGTGCCGGTGAATTCGTGCATGTCTACCGTAATATGCGGCGAGAAGGAGCTCAAAAGCCTCTTGTGCCCCCTGGACATCTCACGCGCTAGTTTGGTGTGCTCCCTATTCGGATCCAGGTTGCTCGCGAGCGCGCGCTGGAAGTAAGCCACCCCGTCAGGATTGTATCGAGGCAATAGCGTAATATCCAAGCGCTCGAGCAAGCTTTCTCTCCATGCTTGATCTGCGTCTAGTTTTCCCAAGAGTGCGAGAACGGCTTGATCGCCTGCCGGTTCGTTGCCGTGCACGCCGCCTTGGATCCAGACGCGAAGCTTTTTCTCTAGCGAGGGGGAAGGCCTTGATAATAGAACATAGGGAAACGGCCGACCTTCCTCTGAGGTGTAGTCTGCGATCTTGTACTGAACCCAGTCATTCCGCTCTGCGATTGAGCGCACGAATAAATCTGCCTTCCTGGTTAGTACTTGGTGGTTCCTTACTCTTCATTGATGTACGCACCTAGTGTAGCATCATCAGTCGGACCATCAGTCCCATTAGCGAAGCCCGGGAGCACGCTCTGTGGATTCGCAAAGGCCGGTGAAAGTAGCGTCTCACTGGTATCCTGAAAATTGGCAGCTACAAGCTCCTCGTCCTTCTGAACCGCTGCGTGATTCTCGCCGTACTGGACAGCCTTAACTATAGAACTGCAGAAGAGCAGCGCGTGGATCTGAGAAACTCTGCTTAGAGCGAACGCCCTCATTTTGTAGCCAATGTCCCCGGGGCTTGAAGGTCTGATATTCCTCGTGGAAAAGAAAAGCTCTTCCTCGGTTCAGCGGTATCTGGCGCCGTGCAATTTATCATGCACAATTAAACCGAGCTGTTTACGCCTCGATATTTCGTTCCGTGGTTTAAATTTAATGTTTGGACGTCCCCAACGTTGAAGACAATCCCTACTAAAGAAGACTGCAACTGGCGTAGTCCATATCTCGCCATCCAGCACCCGCGATGGCGTAACGCACCATACCCATGGACATATTGAAAATTGGGCATAGCCAAGAGCTCGTTAGCTGCCAAGAGAGTAGCATTTGGAAAACCATAAGTGATATGCCAAGAGAATATAGTAATGCTCGTAGCTAAGTGAGGCAGGTCAGTTGTCTAGTCGGTATCCCCTCATGTGGAGATATGAGGGGAAAGTTGGAGATGTTAGTGCTCTCTATCTGCCAAAATAATTGCCCGCTGTTTTGATAGTTAGGTAGTCAAGTCTTTGATACCAGTCAGTGGGACAAGTCTTCGCATTGTATTAAAAGTACCTAGTGTACCGATTGAAGGGTCTTGCCTCTTGGGAGCGTCCGAGAAATAAGCATGCTTGCAATCATAACATAGAGAGGTTCTATGTCTTTCATCGTCGCGGTGTCCAGAGCAAATCACCGCGGAACTTGCTGCAAAACGCCCAACTCCCTGTGGCTCGTGTGCCACATGAGTGTGGATTTCCTCATTTTCTGTTGTCGACATTCCATGTGGTCAACGACCGCCTCAATGTTCCTCCTATCAGCATGAAATTACTGAGCGGCACATCACGGCGATAATCACCTTCACAATAAACACGCACATCGATCTGCTCTTCGTCAACATCGAGGCTAATCACACGCCTCGCCTTCCTTCTGCATTGATATGCCATGCTACATGCTTGCTCTCACTAATGCTCCTCCCTATGCAGACAACAGACAGACCCCTGAACCGCAAAGACTTCAAGAGAGAAAAGGCCCTTCGCAAGAAGAATAAAAAGAAACCTCCTGGTATGCTGCCTGGTATGCATGTGAAGGTATCCTTGCTTTTGGGGTTATTGCAATCATGTCCATGAAACTGAAACCGCCATTATGCTCTTTTCATGGTTGTGAGCTGCAATAGGGGGTGAACTCATTCGTATATGTATCTCTCGTCTCTTTCGTCAGTCGTCAAACAAAAAAGCGCCACTACGCACTCCATTTCTGCTTGCCCTCACTAGGGGCCCGGCTTCTTTTCTGCTTGCTCGTGGTTGAGACGGCAGAGCTGCCGACGCCAGAAGTGCCACTAGGTTCCGACACAGATTGTTGGATAGAGTGTCTGCTTAGCCGTCGAGGTGCGACAAATTCCTCTGCTGCGCTTCCGATGTTTTCCTTATTCGACATCATACTTTCGCTGCGGGATGCGGCCGAAGTGGCGCTTAAGCTGGGTCTCGAAGCGTACATGCTAGAGTTCCGCGGTAATCTGCTCCTGGAAGCACTGTTGCCCTGTTTAATTTCGCCGCTGACTGGACGGGGAGAACTGATAGGTATTCCTGAACCGTCTCTGCTACGAGGGCGAAATGCGGAGTGGCCATTCCGCTCATGTGCTAGTGACATCCTTTTAGGGCTAGCAGCAACTTCGATATATGCTGCGGACTGCGAAGAACGAGCAGCTTGTGTCGGGGTAAGAGGCGCGGATACGGCAGCGTGGAGAGAAGGAGGGGTGTAGATACGTCTTCCTCCAGACCGCACGCGGTTAGACCCTGACGGGGCTGACATAGGCGCAATGAGCTGGTCGCCGGGACCATCAATGTGTGAAACAACCAGGTCGGATGCTAAGTTTCGCACAAGGAGACCCGTGTCCTTCTCGGCGAGAACTCGAATGCTGTCAAGCAGCGACCGAAGTTGATTGTCCCTAGGATCGGTGAAGTAATCCGTCTCGCGTGCCTCCAGAATGTTTCGGACTAGACGAAGGAGATTTAGTCGTACGTCAACTTTCCTGTGCGAAAGCTTCTGGGTGATTCCCGAATACATGTCCGATTTCGCCAAGGATGCCGCCAAGGAGGGTGAGAGCCGCAGAACTTTCAACAATGGTTCTAACATGTTAAAATCAAAATAGTTCGTCTTCTGGGCGCCGAAACATGTCACAACAGCATCGGTGAATTTGCCATTGAGTAAGTGACCCTCTACCTTGGCCGTCTCCTCTTGTAGCCTAATTACGTTGTTAGCAAAGTAAAATCAAGTCAGTTCCAAAGGAAACACTGACCAGACGAATATGGCATCCAGAGTGGCCACCTGCCACGAACGTTCACTTAAGAGCGAGACATAGAAGTCCAGGCCGTTATTCTGCCATAAGAATCGACGTCCTTTGCTTCCCGAATGGGCCATATCACAGAGAATAGGCAGCACAAACTCTTTAGCGGGCCGATCGGTCTGCATGATATCGAGTAGAACCGGTATGATACCGTTGACGGCGGCATACTCTTGGCGATCCTTGCTCAGGCGACAGAGATTAAACATGGTATTCAGCGCTTGGTTAGAGATCTCGCGGAAGTGGGAGTGTCCAGTCTTCATGCCGCTACTGAGCAACTCAATAAGAAGATCGATAGCGTCTGCAGCATGAAGAGCGTCGAGCGTCGTGGAAAGATTCGAAAGGTTCTTTATGAACTTCAACATCGTGATTTGGTGTGAGGGGGTCATTCGTCGGAGATCCTTCAGAATACCTGATCAAGTGTTAGTCCGCATTGTGGTGATCACCACTAAAGGTGCAGAATCACTTACTCTTCAATACTTGTCGATCAGCAACCATCTCTTTCACGTAGTTCTCAGCCATTGAGAACAAAAAGAAGATATTAACGATGCGGCCTTCGATTAGTTCTATTATTTCACTCTGGATATCTTCATTGAGAACTCGGTTGAGTACCAGAGCGAGTGGATCGAGGATCTTGCTTCTTGACAATATTCGGCAG